GAACTACCGAGCAATATGATATTTTTCTTGGTATTCGACAAGACATCACTTTATTTTTATTATTTTGAAATTTTACACAAATTTAGTAGTAGTTAACAAATAATATGTAAAGAAATAATGGTAGAAATACAAAACAAGTTTTAATTTAAAATCAAATCTATTTTATTCCAATTTTTTGCTTTAAAAATTATTTAAAGTAAGAATAATTACTAAGCAGTGATCTGCGAAAATATCGCGACTTAAGATTTTCAAAAATACTTAGATTTATTCATAAAAGAAATATTAGTTTCGAAATTATTTTAAATGTTTTCAAAAACATATATAAAAAAAATAAATTTATATTGATTAATATTAAAATTATAACTATATAAAATATAATTGAAGAAATAAATTTATAATCAACTATAAGCAAATAATAAATAATAATAAATTTACTTAACTATAAGCAAATAATATCTTATCTTATCTTAGCTTCACTAACATTTATATTAACTATATAAATTCTATATCTAACATCTTATTTTTTTCAACTATGTTAATTTCATATTTGTTATACACTTTTTTAATGTAAAATTGCAGTTTAACAGAAAAAATTACCAGTTAAACATATAACATAGTTAAGCGCGTGTGGGAGATTAGCAAAAAAAATAGAGAAATAGGAAATTTGAAACAGAGAATAGAAAAACGATCTCAGAAAGTTAATATTAGTATACTTTCATTAAAAAATGTATTAATCTGTTTAAAACTTAAAAACTGGGGAAGTCTACCACTACAAAAACAACTCATGACTAGTATGTGGCAAGAATGAAAGAATATTTATATGAATATGATATTTTATAAAACTGGTATGTTTTGTACAGATATGTATGAATTTCTGTTAATGTCACACAAACAAAATCTGTTGAGTCAAAAGAGTATGGAATGCAATTATATGAGTGCAAACTTATGTTACACACCCTTGATGATCCTTTTGGAAATAAACGTTGAAAATTTAAAAATCCATCTGACATATTATTAAAAAATAGAAAAAATTTTAATATTTTTGCTAATTATACTCACTATTTTTATTTTAATTCAAATACTGAAGACACATCAAATAGTTTACATAAAGAAAAAGTGTGAATTCTGATTAAAATATGCATCACACGCAACGCTGTGATCAGTTCAGAAATTATGTTAATAACAGATTTTCTTATATGAACTTTTTTTATGTTTAATTTAATACAACAGAATTTTTAACAAATTGTTTTATATCATAATCTGTTTTTCTAAGCAAACATTTCTTAAAAACAATTTATTTTTGTTTTCGAAATTGTTTTTTATAAATTCCAAATTAATAATAAATATCTACGTGACAAACACTTACCCTTAAAAAACAACAACTGCAATCAATTGAACAGTTTCAAAGACAGATGAGAAAGTCGGTACAAAGAAACATAAAAAAATTTTGTTTCAATATTGCCAGGGCATTAAAACATATATTTTTCATATTAAAATTAAAAACTATATTAATTAAAAGTAACAAATAAATTAGTTTAATAACTTTTTAATCACAATTCACACAATTAAAACACATAAAAACCAATTAAAAAACCTAAAAAGAAACATTTGACCCCCGCCGATTGTCGCACATTCTATACTAATTCATACTTTATTATGCGTGTTTACAAATACGCTTTGCTTTCGTTCAAAAATTTCGTATAAATTTTAAAACGGGTTGCATTAATAACGGCTTTTAAGTAAAGAAATTTAAAAAATTGCCGTTAACTTATCTTGCATATTGCAGGGTTGCATTTTTGATTATGAAAATATGTAAACAATATTAAAAAGCATAAAAGAAATTTTTTTACTATTTTATTAATTACGTATATATAATTATTTCATTAATTTCATTACTAATAAGAAATACACGTAACTTTTAATGTTACCTCATGTCAATAAATCAAAAAAAAAAAAAGAATCTCATGTTTCATGTTAATAAATGTTATTCATATGTTTTTTAAATGAAAAAAAACAATGTGTTATTATTACACAATTTTAGTATTAAATTTCTTGTTAATAATTTTAATACTAATAAATCTGGAAAAAAAAATATTATACATAAAGTTTAAATGCGTATTTTGGCACTTGAAGTTCATTATTTGCTATAACAGTTCTGATCTGATCTATATAAGAAATGATAGATTACTAATTTACATCAATATAAATAGATATCATACAATAAATACTAATACTATATAAAAAATATTCGCCGATTTTTGGTACATTTATAAACAAAATTTTCCATTCGAAAATTTAAATATATTTTTTATATAAAAAAATTTAAATATATTACAAATATATAATACACATCCTATTTTATCTCTTAAAAATTAATTTTAATAAAATTTATGTTGGTCATTATTGTTTATTGCTCCTGCTATTTCTCGGGTGCCTTCATAATTGTATCATTGTAGAATTTCCGTGCTTTATCAATGAAAAACTTTATCAAGTGATTTTCAGCGGTTGTTTGGTCTGGCAATTTTTTACCATTTACCGCAGAACGACAAAAATGGTAGATAGCACAAGGCCCGGGCTATACGGTAAATGTGTGTTCCAACTTTCTTAACAAAGTCCCGCAAATTAACACGATTGTTTTTCGGTTCTCCAATTTTAGTCGCTTTACCAATAGATCGAATAAGCTGTTGCTCAAGACTGGAGGAGTTCGTAATAAAAATTTTTCTACCAATCCCACAGAAAATATTACTATATTTGCCGTCAATCTAGACTTCAATCCAGAAATCGTTTGTAGAGGGTTAACGGTTGTACACAATGGTCATTTTCATTGGATAGTATAGTATTTAATACAATAATTGTTAATGATTTGCTTTAAAAATAATTCGATTTCATTGCGTTGCAGCAGTGCTTCTCTGATGGTAAGTCGGTCAATCAAATTTATTTCCGTTAATTCATACAGTGCTCAAACGCAGAGTGACATTATGTAGTTTACGCTTTTCAAATAATTCCAAACTGTTATCTGGGTGATGTTTAATGTCTCCACTATTTCCTGACAGCTTGCATATCAGGTTTGCTCTACCAGTTGCAAAATTTTATTAACTTTATTACTAGCCTTTGACCGACCAGAGCGAGGTGCATCTTAGACATAAAAATTTCCGAAACGGAATCAAGAAAATCATTTCTGGGTCCACTGTATCGTCATCGTAATCAACAAAAATTATTTGCCTCATTTTTGCGACATTTTTTTTATTTGTTATCGTAATAAAGCATTATGTACTGGTTTATTTCAGATATTTCACACAATTTTAAATCAATATAATTTTTTACATGAAAGACGAAAGTATTCATAAAAAATATAGCGTGACTTTTCCCACAAGTTCGCTTGACACAATCGGATTGCCAGATATTATGGGTACCAATATTATCTAGTGACAAAGAACAGCAGATACTTTTGATATAATATAATACTTAGTAGTGCTTTAATTTTTGAAGTTGAAATTTATTTTTTTCAGCGTAAATAATTTAGCACACTTTTATAATGGGAAATTATTAAATACATTTCAAATACATACATTCAATGAGTATTCTCTTGTATTATTAATTGATTTAGTCGACAATTAAAGATAAAGAAATAAAGATATATTTAAATAAGAAAACATATAAATTCTTAAGAACGCAGTGGTATTGAAGATTAGAACGCTTTGGATAATTTCAAAATACTACCTGGAAATGTTAAAACTCATTTTTTATAAAAGTTCGATTTGATATATTGTTATTTATTTTTTAATATTCTGTTTATGAAAGTAATGACCTTATTATTTTAAAAAAAATTTGTATACACACTGTATTCCCTTAGAAAACGCATAAATAACATATTACAAATAATCATATTAAATCTTAATTAATTGTTTTAGTTAATAAATAAAATACATCAAAGATAATTAAACTGAACTTGTTCTCCAATAAAATTAAATAAAACAAAAATTCAAAAATGTGAAGTGCAAAATAAAGCAAATATACAATAAAAATCAAATAAAAATTAATTAAAAAACTACAACTAAAAACTGTTATTAAAAAGTGATCAAAAATAACTAAATAAAAATGGAAGGACGTCTTATTGAATATCGCCCTATTGGTGGAGGCTTAGATTATCATCATAACTCTCCGCTCATTGGAGAAATACCACCAGCAGGTGGAGACTACTCGCATGCTGTGCATCGTTCCATCGATCAATTGCGAAATAGTCTAAATGAACGTGTAGCACTGGGACCTTTAAGTGTATTCTCTAATTCTTCGGATTTACGCTCTTCTGTTTTATCATACAGTAACCAACAACAGCAACATCAGCAGCAACATAATCAACAACACCAACCGCAACATCAAAATGTTGGACAATATCATTTGCAACCAGCTGCTAATGCTGCTGCTGCTAATACTGCAGTGCAACAACAGCAATTACAACAAAATCAACAACAGAAATCTAGCACAATAGCAGCAGCGATTATTTCCTTGGACACAAATCGTGTTAATGACGTTGGTAGCACCAGTGATGCAAGTAATATCAAACCAGTTGATACAAATGCTGTTGTTAGTTCCTCGGGTTCTACACAAGGTCCCGGACGTGGTCGAAAATCACGCGTTTACACGAACACCAATCAACATATAATTGTTACCAGCAATAGCGTTGATCACGCACGTCATTTGAGCCACAATGACAGTAGTGCCACATCGACCAATGGTATTTCATCATCAACTAGCTCACCACATCATATGCTACATGCCGGTGATGTTAAGGATCCGAAGGTAGTATATTAAGAAGTGATCTACTTCTGTTGAAATAGTGTTCTTCAATTATTGTCCTATAAAAATGTTGACAAATCTATTACTTCACATAAAATTCTTTTAATGTATATCTATATAACATACACATATATATTTTTATAAATCTTATTATAAAATTTGTTTCTAAATAATTTAAACTATTAATTTTTAATTATTTACAGATCTTCAGTTCCAAAGCAGATTTGCAGTTACACACACAGATTCACATGCGCGAAGCAAAACCCTACAAATGTACACAATGTTCCAAGGCATTCGCCAACTCTTCGTATTTATCCCAACATACTCGCATACATTTGGGAATCAAACCCTATCGTTGTGAGATTTGTCAGCGTAAATTCACTCAACTCTCACATTTACAACAACACATACGCACACATACCGGCGATAAGCCCTACAAATGTAGACATCCTGGTTGTCAGAAGGCTTTTTCACAACTTTCAAACTTACAATCTCATTCGCGTTGCCACCAAACAGACAAACCATTTAAATGCAACTCATGCTATAAATGTTTCTCAGATGAACCATCACTTTTGGAGCATATACCCAAGCACAAAGAGTCCAAACACCTTAAGACCCATATATGCCAATATTGTGGTAAGTCGTATACGCAAGAAACATATCTCACTAAACACATGCAAAAACATTCCGAACGCACCGATAAGCGACCACCAATTGTGGCCACTAATTCCAGTAATGGTGCTGGCAATGGAAACAATATGCCGACTGTAGGCAGTGCAGGTTCAAATGCTACAAATAGCAATGGTAATATATATAATGATCAGTTGCAAAGTAATTTTTTAAAATCAGGTTTAACAATAGTTTCTATAGCACCCACCGAACATTCCTATTGGCCGAAAGTTAGTCCAGACTCGGCAGCTAATATGACTGATGTAATGCATCAGCAACAGCAACAACATCATCACCACCAACAGCATACCAATCAACCGCAACAGCACGCACCACCACCACATCATCAACAACAACAACAGCAGCAACAACAACCACCTCAACAACAGCATATGGATTTCCCACCAGTAAATACCCATCAAACGTCAGTGGCTGCTAATGGACATGCTAATGGACATCCAGATTTGCATGGTACCCATCATCGGATGTCTGACAATGGAAGAGAAGACATAGGTGAGTTTAATTGGGAAAAAAATTTATATAATTTTTGTGTATGATTACATTGATTATATCGATTACATTGAAAAATATAAAGTAACGATGACGGCTTTTTGAATTCTCTGGATAGTTTTTACTGTATAAAGACAGCATAAACAAAATGCTTTCAATATTTAAAAGGTGTCTCTGTAAAAACATAAAAATTTTGGTATTATAAATGTAACACTTTCTATAAAAAGTAAGCTGGGAGATTATGAGATAGAGAAATACTTAGGGAGATAATGGTGTATAAATTCATTAAATTAATATATAAAAGTTTGAAAATAGTTATAGTATTTATAGTTAATTATACTCAATATAGCGATATAGAGTTTCGAGCGCTTTAAATTTATAATAGATAATAGTATTAGAATCGGAATTAAAATATCATCATATTTATATATGCGCATAGATATGCTGCTATAAAATGTTTTCGGTCTTGGATTTATATATCCAAATTAATCCAAAACTACATAAACCTCATATCTGAGTAAAATGATACCATTAATTTGAAACCAATCATGACACAATTAGTATATGATAATCTTATACAACTATATCCGTGATCAGACATGTTCATCACAAACTATAAGCCATGTTAATGCTTCCATTAAATCAACTAACATATATTAATAGAGAGTAAAATTGTTCAAGTGCACTGACTCAACTAGCTTCAACATAATAGTAATATTCTCATTCGTGAATACACATTAATCCAAATTTCCTTAAACTCAGATAAATAACTACTACGTTACAACAGAATATGTATCCCTTAACTACTAGTTTTCAAGGATGGAAAAAGATTGGGTAAATCTGAGTAAACCATTTTACTTTATGTATACTGGAATTATAAGGAAAGGAGTTCAACATATTTATCTAGCTATTATCGAACTTAAAAAGAACTGAAAACTTGAACTGAAATGAATTATAAGATGTACCAATAACTTTAATCTATATTAAAATCAATGACGTGCATTTTCTTAGGGATTGCACAATGTATCTTATAGCTTTATAGCTATCTTATAGCTTTTATCATTTAGTTCTGATAACATTTTGCATAATTTTAGTAGATAGAGAATATCTGCGGTCTCTTTCCCAACATCTATTCAGCTAATATATTAGATACAACATATTATATACTGTAGATATAATAATGACATTACTTAGTTTTCATAGTAAATATTTTCTTCTATTTCACAGTTTCTACACCATCAACAATTGGACCTTACGACGCTGCTAGCATTACGAAGACCACCAGTAATTCAGCATTTACGCCAATCAATTCTATGCCACCGCATTTGAATACTCTTAGCCATCACCCAATGGCGCAACGTCCTTATCTTTATGATGCTATCAGCTTTCAAAACAAAAATGTCAATCAAAACAATGCCAATGCATTTCCTAATCAATTGATATCCTTGCATCAAATACGTAATTATGCACATCAGCCCGCTGGCTTAATGGCTGGAGAACATCTCTTGGGTGTTAGTGTTGGACCCGGCAAAGACAAAGGATAGCTATACTTCTAAATTTAAATACAAAGATTTGGTATTTAAAGCTGAAAGCAACAGAACAAGAATATTTTACTATTTAAAAATAATAGCAAGCATTTTAAGGTACTTATTTTAGTTAGTCTGTAGTTAGAGAGGTCGTATTATGTATAATTTAGTTCTTATTGTAATATTAATATAAATACAGTATGATATGATGTAAGTTTGCTGTCGATTTTAAGCATTAATTGCTAAGTATTTCAGAGAGGTTATAGTATTGTATCTTCAATTTTATTTTTTATATACATTATATTTTATATTTATATTATATTACTAAGGCTCAAGCATTAGGTCTGTAAAGTAAACTTTTTGTAATAACCGTCCACTATGTTTTTTTTTTTTAAAATAATTTATTGTAATACGTATTTTAAACTACTCATATGTTATGTGTGGATACACCGATTTGTTCTTTAGAGATATTAATATACATTGAAAAGTCTTTATAAAATCAAGAAGTTAATTGAAAGAATTATAAACTCAAAAATGTTAGTATGATGAGATACGTAACAGTTCACGAATTTCACTGAAATAAAACTCAAAACTTTATACTAAAGTTATATACTTTATTTTAATGGAAAGTATTACTTCTCAAATCAGTTGTTATGTTATTGCTTTTTATTATGAGAAAACTGTAACAATTTGTTTCTTAATTTCTAATTCAAAAACGGAATAGTTTCAAAATATTAGTTCTAGTAATAAACTTAAATTTTAAGTGATATCTCCAACTCTGAAAATTGTAGTGAAAGAAACTGTATTGAAAGAGGTTTTTAATAAACCGATCAGTTATTAGAAGTAAATGTAAAATTGGAATGAAACTATCTTCTATTTAGATGCTTATGATCATATGAGTTTTAAAATTGAATGATACTATGTAGTATTTATAATACATTCTAATACTTTACCCATTCAGTTACGAATATATCAGTATTGTTTTCGAACGATTGACAGTGTGAGGGGCTGTCGATTATGCAATAATATTATTCGTAAAAAATCTTTTATTTTAGAACTGAAGTAATTTCCTTATGCATCTGCATAGTGGGTTAAATACAGCTAATTGTACAGATGTATATTTGTCTTAATATACATATTTGTACTATATATTTTTTCTCATTAAATTTTCTAATATCCTAACAGTTACATGAAATGATTATTAACCAACTTTTCAATAATGTTCAATAGTAAAAATATATCCAAAAATCTTAATATATCACTCATCATTAATGATCTTTTTTAATTAATGATTAAAAATGATTAATGATCTTCATTATTGCTGCACATAAAGGAGCTTTTACGCCATCGATTGATTAAATTTAAGGAAAGTCACCATTTCATTGCCTCTTTTTGTTATAGAATATTACTTCGATCTCACCTTTAATCAAATTCAAGCAGAGCCATCAACCCATGAGCCTGGTTTTTATTACAAAATTTAACTTCAAACACAATTTTTGATTATACTATTATTATACACGCTTCTCTCCCTTCTTCTATTCCCTAGCTAATCCCTGATCGATTGTATCATTCTTTGACCTTATTGAAGTATCTTTCTTTTTAACTAATGATTCATTAATTAATGAACAGCTCATGCCTTATCCATACAATCTTATATAGTTGGTCTTTTACTTATTCAAATTAAAGTTTTTGTAGATAATCTTCCATAAGAATTTGATTTTTTTGCATCCATATTTTCAACGAAAGATTAAGTATTTTATTCCATAGCGAATTATATCTTACTATATCTATAAAGTGATATCTTACTTTTTTGTATTTTATTCAATAGCGGATTTATTCTTGCTTACTTATAATATCAATCCATATACCTTGGAATGGTACTATAGATATAGATAGACACGAAGCAATATCCACTCTGGTATTCATAAAATCTGTTTTAAAACAATCTAAAACTGTTCAATGTTTTAATTAACAGATATATATTAATTAATATTAATGGGTTTTTCTTTTTTGTGAAGAGTGATTTTCATAAACTTTCAGTTGTCAAAACACCAAAACTATTGTAGTATTGACTCATGTTTTAATAGATAAACAGTAACAATTATAAAATTTACACTATAATTTTGTTCGTTAAACTACACATTATTTCCTTCTAACTTTATTTGTCTTTACTTTAAATATATCTTATACTCGATTCACATGAAAATTTTGATTATAATTTTAGCTGTCATTTGTTGTTGCTTTCAATTCAAAATGAAAACTTTTGACAGCTAAAATTACAAACAAAACTCTCGTGTAAATTCAGTATTACATGAATTGGTATTTTATAAACTACGGATTGTTATATTTATACATTAGCAAAAAAATAATCATTTAAACAATATAGATCAAAACTATAGAAAAACTATAATTCTTTCTAACATTTCTAAACAAATCGATAGACAAATTACTACGTTAATTAATAGTTTTATAGTTTAAATGGTGTTGCAATTATTGAACGAATCAAATTATCCATCTGTAAGAAAAATTTTCACAAAAAACTTTTAAATGATCTCCGTATTTGTAAAATCAGAATTTACTCAAGAAAAAAATCATTCTATTAAAAACTAATTAAATTTGTAAATATATTATTAATTTTTGTATTACTTAAAAACAGATTTTAATATAAAAATAATATTCGAGTACATTGTTTTTGATTATATTATTCTTTATATCACTTTATATAAATAATTTAATTTTATATTATATTTTTTTGATGTAATAATGGTGAAAAAAGATTTTTTAGATTTGTAAATGTGTAAAAAAATACTACTAATTTTAATATTTACAATTTTTAAAATATATTAATTAAACTTTTGGGCAAATACATAAACTTTTTTTAATTAAAGACTGACATGTGAAAAAAAATTATATACATTTATATATTTTATTTATTTTTTTCTATATTGAAATTTTTTGAAATAAATGTGTCCTAAATATGAAGTTAGTAAAAACTATTGTAATATTGATATGAAACTAATAAGAAGTTAGTATTTAAGTAAAATAATAGTAGAAAAACTAAATTAATATGTGTGTCCTCATTGTGTAATATTTGTGTAATATATTAATTCCATTACACAATTGTGTAACTAATTATGATTTTACCGATTGCGATTGTATGCTGATTTTAACTAAGTGTGACGTATATTTCCATATAATCCATTCAATATGTTTACTGGATTACTTAGCAGGAAGTCATTAAAAAAAACGGTCTTGTCCAGGCTGATGTTTGTCTTCTAAATAGCTGATAAAATTTTTTTTATTATGTACCACTATAGAATATCCTCAGAACGTTATGAATTTAATATTGAAATTAATTTATTATTACTACAAATAAATGGATAACAAAGTAATAACACTAATTTATAAGCATATATTTATGCAACCTTCTAAAAAAACTTATAAAGACAACATTTGTCCTCTTCCTCATTTAAAAAATTCATCCCAAAAACTACACACGTCATCTAACGACAATATTTAAATGGATTATATATATAACTAGTAACAACAATAGATGGACTAAATGTTGTTGGTAGTTTTTGCATGCAAATATTTTCTATTTTAATGCCCGATCTCTCAATAACTGACAAATAGTATAATGATTAAAGTTATTCAGAAAAGCTGACTTCACTTGACGAATAGGTGTATGTAGAAAATTGGACTTGTGTCGTTTCCGAAGTAACATCTTAGCTGGTGGGCAAATAGTCTTAAGACCATTGTTATAACTTTTACTTATAAATTATAGTAAACATCATATTATGAGTAATATTGACAAAATGTATTGTAATTTTATCTTTTAAATGATTTTTTATCTCTACCTCTACTTTTTTTCCATAGTCTCGAATGGAATACATATATTTTACTTATTTCATTTTCTTCCTTGGCTTGATGTATGAAGTATTTGTTTTTCTATTTAACTGGAGGTGTGAATAGAAAAAAATAAGAGCTAATATATATATATATGTATCACATATATATATTGACATATCATAGCAGTATCCTTTGTCACTCTTTTTACTAAATAAAAATAATTGGAGAGTTTTCTATTAAATCGTTGGATAGCTGCCAGTGACTGGCTCATGTAAAATTTAAGAAATAATATCAAATTATTGATCTAATAACGTCAATGAAAGAATTTTGTTTAGATCGAAAAACCACAATGTTATTTAAAAAAAAAATGGGGAAATTCTTTAATGAATATATTAAAAATAACGGACAGGCAATAAATAATGTATAAATCTCTAATAGATCGGTGCCTACTGACGACTACCGTGACAGAGCTGATAAATATTAATTTCTTATTTAAAAAACTCCACAATAAATAATGAAAAGTGTCTATAACTGGTCGGTACATATACATAATTAAATGAATTTTTAGAAAATAACATTGAACAACAATTGTAAATAATTAAACAGATTTTAAGAGCGAATGTTTGGAACTCTGTAAAAGCACACTGAATAATTAAAAGCTATTAAATCATAACTATAGTTGCAATTAAAATTACTTAAATTTAAATGTTAGAATAGCGTTTAATATAACTTTTAATATACAATACTTTAAATAGTATTTGTCCAATTATAAAGTGTATTAGTAAATAAAAGCAATTCAGATTTAAATATTTTTATTTATTATTAATTTTACTTATAATACAAATAAAATATTTTTAGGAATGTTACTGAAAAGAATTATCTAAATGTATCATTAAATGAAAAATACATTTACATAATAAAAAATTAAATAAAATATGTGAAATTTTTAAATAACTTAAAAAAAAAATAAATGTACACTTTGTCTCAACCTAAAACTTAAAATAGTTATAAAATATTTAATATTAAATTAAAATAATATAAAAAAATCGGTTTAATTATTGATGTAATTTAAATATATTTAAAAAATAATTGTAAATATCAATTTTATTCTTAATATTAAAACGGCAATGTCAATAAATGTTTCAACATAAAAATTTAATTTTAATTGTTAAGTTAATTAAATAAACGTTTAAAAAGAAATGTGTTATAAAAAAAAAAGTCGCAGTTCTTTTTTTACTTTCAGTAAATACAAAAGTCATATAACTCGTATTTATATACAATACATGTTCATTTCTATAGCTTTTATCT